TGATAATTTTACATAATTGTAAGTTTAAGTAAATTTAATCTTAGTATAAATTAATGAAAGCATATTTTGTTTCATACAATTTTGTGAAATTACTTTTTATTGTATCCTCGATATTACTCTGCTACGTACCAGCTAACCACAGTTAACTCAACTCAAGCGATACAAGACAGCGCTGAGTTAAGTTGTCATGAATCATGCGGATTACAGATGGTCATGTCTACAAAATTTTCGGTCCTAGTAAAACTAACTCGAACTTGAGTTATCGTAAACACCCAGGGACTCTACAAAAAAGTTACTCGTGTTGTCATCTAGTGTCAGATTTTGGTAATGCTGCCTTGTGTACATTATCTAGCGGTTGCTCACGTGGTCATGATGGACATGTTTATATTATCTAATTTTAATACAGGTCGTAAGTAGTTCAATCCCTGTAGAAGTTTGTTTCTTTAATATACGGTAAACGTTGTAAAGATTAATCATGCTAAGAATACTTTGCCACTCGAATGGCTTGTCACTACTCGTTAAGAGGACCACGAAGATCGTCTGTATACCAAGTATAAGAAATCTAAATTTGTTGGAGTATCAGAGCAAGGAGCTTTTGCGAGACTCCGGTGTATCGGTGCAAAATTTTGCCATTGTCGACGACTTGAGCAAAACAAATTCTGCTTTGGAAAAATTACGTACGTACATACTTATTTAATTATAGGAAGTTCTTGTTTTTGATATATAATTTATTAAAAAAGAATGTAACTTTTTTATCTAAAAAACTGCATTGTGTTTGCTAGATAGTTTTTCCATCATACAATGTTTTGTAGAATTACTATATGCATTAAGTACTATGATTTTTTTCTTTATACTATGTAATGGTATATGTGATGGTTCTACCATTACATATGAAGACCATGAGAAGAACTTAAGTCAAATTTTTTCAATTTTCTGTTTTTGATCTTATTTGGTAATTAAGATGGATTATTTTAATTATCCAGTGAGAAAAGGAAATTTTTGATACCAAGATATAAACATTTTTATAAAATTGTAACACAGAAGTACATATATATTTCAAACTTTAAAATTACTCTTCTCTAAAATTACAAAAAAATGTGACTTATCAAGTTCTTCCTCTGTGGTCTTCATATGTAATATATAGGTCTATAGTTTATTTATTATTGCAGATGCAAATGAATATGTTATTAAAGCTCAAATCTTAGCTGGAGGTCGTGGTAAAGGCTGGTTTGATACTGGATTTAAAGGTGGTGTGCATCTTACTAAAGAGTAAGTAATAATTATAGTTTATACTTTTGTACAAATACTTTATAAAGTATTATAATACGTTTTTTTTTTTTCAAGTAAAACATTCTTGATGATAAACATTGTTGTAATTTGTTTCTTTTACAATAAATTTATATATTGTAGTACAGGGGTCGGCAACTAGGCACTGCTCGCGGGCGCCCGCGGGCAGCGTAATTGCCCGCGTGCAATAAGTAAACAGAGGGGATAGAAAAAGAGCATCGCTTATAAACTGAAATGTGCTGCAACAGGATCGGCATATTTTCAAGTGGTACCCTCATGAAAATTCTTCCTTACACAAACTCTCTTTAGTTAAAAGAGAGAAAGAGAAAGAGAAAGAGCTAGAAAGTGAGAGAAAAACATTATTACACAATTTTTTATTATAAAGTATAAATTAAAAGTGCGTAGTTTATTAAATAAAGAAGGGTATATTTTAAATTTATTTAGAAGTGCTACTTAGATATTTATGTTTAAGT